CACATCCCACTGGACCCAGGTGAAGTCCTCAGCCACCCGGTCTTTAACCAGCCGCTCCGGGTTCTGGATCACCTGCAACGGTGGCTCCTGTTAGACTGTGATGTCATAATGAATTAACACGTCTTTTAATGCTTTTAATGATGCATTCTGAAGCGCAGAAGACTCACCACTCTGTAGCCTTCTTGCTTTGTGAGGAATATGTGGAACTGTTCAATGTCTGCAAATGTAAAAACATGAATAACATAAGTCAGTCCTTACCAAATAACAACAACAGAGACCACTGCATCTTAGCAACCTGCTGACTGCGACCCAGAAGGGTTTCTTTCTCTTCCCTTTAAGGCTCCTTCCCAGGTACTCACATCCATCCTCTGCTATCAGCAGCAGGTGGCTCTCGAGAACGGACGGCTTCTCAGAGTCAGGGGCTAAAAACTGGGGGAGGAAGCAGAGCACCTCAGAGCTGCGGCGATTCACAGGCATGTGGAACAGTCACTGAGCACACCGATCACGATGCAGCCGCAATGTTACACTAATAAACAGAGCAACACTAAGACTCTCATGGAAAAAATAATGGGTTGTGCAATTGCATTACACCCACGTTTTCAGATGTCTTACATTCTTACCAAAACAGAACTGCGCAGGGCATCCAGGGAAACACGGAGACAGACAAAGTAAGGTGCCCTCACTCTTACTCTACAGCTTCCTGTTGCTAAGCACTTTAATTCCGTTAATCGCAGACTTGACTGTACCTGGACTCTGATCCCACAGTCTACGGCTTTCAGGACTTTGATGTTGTTTTTCGGGTGTATCTCGATGAGCAGTGTCTTACACTTTGAAACTAGGGAAGGAAGAAAAGTCATTCAGGTTTATGGCTCTGACATTGAGCAGAATGACCCAACCACCTGACCTGCCTCTGCCGTGAAGGCCTTCCCCAGCTGGTCCTGTTTCCTGTATTCACTCTACTGCTGCCACTGTGGGGGCCCAGACACTCCAATCAAACAGAACAACTTCTACAGAATGACTTTAAAGACTAGGGTGCAGCCTACTCTGAATATCTGTAATACTAAATTTAAAAAAATAAACAAATTCATCAATCAAATTGGTTATCACCATGGTAGCAGTTTCAAAAGGTTTTGACATATTACAGGCACCCAACAGGCTGCAGTGCAACAATGTATTAACAAAATAAGGACAGAAAGAAACAAAGACAACCAAGTACATACAGGTAGGTATGCCTCACAGCTAAGCACAGGTTGGTATTCCTCACAGATAAGCAGAGATAGGTATAGCTCACAGGTAAGTGCAGGTACATATGCATTACTGATACACAGAGGTAGGCATGCCTCACGGGTAAGTATGCTGCACAGGTGTCTCTCACAAGTAAGCACAGGTGTTACAGAATCCAGCTGACTTCCTTTCTCCTGGAACGACATGCTCCTCATTGCCTCACCTTTCAACAATTTATGTACCTTTTTATTAGTACACATTTTACGTGACTTAATATTTTATAATACATTTTACTCATATAAAACATTTTACTTATGCCCCTGGGAATGTGATATCACTCATGACTGCTGAAAAAAACTACCTGAAAACACTGCAAAACTGTTGGTTTAGACATCTGATGAGACACCTGGAAATATTTAGTGTTATTTACTGCTCCCACTGCAGACCCAACATATGCTGTTCCCCACTTAGGTGTGAATCTCCCATGATTCCCTGCTTCCTCTGTGTGTGTGTGTGTGTGTGTGTGTGTGTGTGTGTGTGTGTGTGTGTGTGTGTGTGTGGGGGTGTACCTGGTACCAGGCGGTCCTCCCGCTTTGACTTCTGTGACAGACTGACCGCTGAAAAACAGGAAATTACCACAGAATTCCTCACACAGGACACCCAAACAGCTGAAGAAAGCAAAGCTTACCACACTCTCACAGGTGAAAGCATGACAGCACACGAGGTGTTAACTGGTGTTCTCGGGCCTGCTTTGTTCACTGCACTTAAGTTTATAGTTTGTGCGGACTGAGGTGTAAGTAATATCGGGGATTGCCTGGCGCTCATCGGGAGAGATCCCCCAAGAGGATCTTACCTAGCAGGGTTTCCTCCTTGTTTAGGGAGCAACTGCTTACAAACACCTCCTTGTCAAACGTGTACAGGACCTGTAAGGGTGTAGGAGACGGGGTTAAACCAACATCACGCCTCCTCTAGCGCATGCCACTGAGAATTCCGTCTCCTGCGTTTTTACCTTGTTCTGCTTTGTACCGGGATCGTACTTTCCTATCCGGGTACTACCGGCCGGACCCTGTTCGAGAAAACAAAGAGTACAGAACACAGTGCTTGTTTAAACGTGAAAGCCGCTTAAATGAACCACGTTTGAGGTGTACCTGAGAAGTACAGTTCAACTGATCGCTCAATGACAGCAGTCCTCCGAGACCCCCGCCCACCAACACACACACTGTCAATTCACCGTTAAATGAAAACATTCGTTATAAGAGACCTGCTATAGAGACTCCCTAGATAACATTACATGAAAACATTTGAAGATTTATTTGTAAAGCGGCTTTAGCTACAGAATTTTGCTCTCAGATTAGCAGCGATTACGAGAGACATTAATACTTTGTCAAAAGGGCCACACGACCTTGCACAAATACAAGCTGATATTCGGGTTTACTTACTTTCCAGGAATATAAAACACCTCCATCTTTTTCCACGTTGATGACTCTGACATCTGCTTCTGATAAACTACATGGATCTAAAAATTAAATCACATCAGTCATTAATATTGCCTGTTAAGTATCTGCCTTAAATTGCAATTAGGTGATTCTCAGAGCTTTTGACTTGTGCGAATTGTAAAGTCGGACTTTCTCAAGCATCAGTCTCAGTAGATACGAGCTACGAGCTGCGAGCTACTTACGTTACTCAACCAGTGCCGACACTAATGCATCCTGCGCAGAAAATTACTTGCCTTTTACTCCTCTCGCGGAATCATCTTTTCTTAAAATGTGCGGGATTACATCTTTCTGAAGATCAAAAGTTGCGCGTAGGTTGAGCATATGTGCAGGTTTATTCTCCACAGCACTTCCGGTCAGTAAAAAGTGAGCAGAAAGTTCTCCGGCACAGACATGCTAAAGACGCCCGGTTTTATCGCACTCTAAAGGTGCTATTCCAAGGCAGCAGCTTATATCAAACGCATCATGTGATCGCGACAGTAAATATGTTTTTTTCTTCTCCACGCTTGAATAACGCGGATATTGTTGGTCGTTTTTTAACACAAGAACAAAGTGCACGCCCCACTTGCCATGTTCCGTAACCTTCCTATTATTCTGCGCAGAGAACAATTCCCATTCAGTCCCACACGGAACAACGCTAGTTCTGAGCAGAGCTGCGTTAAACCCCGCCCTGCTGCGTGACGTAGCAATTCTCCCACACCGATTGGTCGGTGCATAAATCAATCAGGGAGATTGGAATTTCGAACGCCTTCGCTGACTCAGTCACCTGACTTAGACAAACACAAGAATGAGAAATATGGAAGTGCAACTGGAGGGGCACGAAGTAATTGTAGGCCAAGCGAAGTTGGGTTTTAATCTATCCTCATGATTTGTGTAACTTATAAACCTATTGATCAGCGAAGTGATATATAGAAAGATCTGATGTGCAAGGAATAATGAGTTATTCCTGTAGTTTAAAATAGAGGCAGGTGATCTGGAAATTTATTATTTATTGGGAAAGACCCAATTAAATAATATCTGTTTCACAATGACGTTACAACGTAGGTGGGAAATATTTGCGGTTGTTGAAGTGGACTTGTTTAGAGCGTTGTGAAAGAAGTACTCATGGGTTACCATTTCGTAATCCTCAATTGCAATTAACGGTTACTACCATGAGATGGCGCCGTTGCGTTGTCGTATTGACTTGACGTTTGCTCAGTCACAAAGATACTAAGATCATTGACATGAACATGTTAACACTGTTGTTCTTACATTTTTCAATTTTCGACCTCAATAAACCAAATACGTTGGAACTAAAAGATATACTATTGTGCATCAATATGCAAGTGTTTTGTTGTTGGTTTTAAGATTATTCTTAAGACCATCTGGTTACTCTTCAATGCCTGAAACAAATAGGTACTTTATGGTGTTCTGTGCATACTATGTTGAGAGAGTCAATTGTTTGTCTAGTTTAATGTACAGATAAGGCTTAATTAAATTTTCCTGTCATTCACTGTGGTTAAGTTAAGGGCCACTTCATAGTGAATAAAAGGTAGTTGCCTGTGTGAACCAAGTTCAGTGTGGGCAACAATGTGGATGGGTGTTGTGAAAAACTGAAACTGAAACCAGAAGGTCGTTGGTTCAATTCTCAGTTGGGACACTGCTGTCCTCGACTAAGGTACTCATTCTGGAGGGTTTCACAAAATATCTGCATATTGGAAAAAATGTGGGAAAAGTGAAATGGAAGCTCTGTCAACCACTCTGGATAAAGGCGTCTGCCAAGCAAGCACATACAAACAGCACTGTTTGAATAATGATTCCCTGGAAGATTACATTTCAGTCCCACTCAGAGCGAACATAAATTTGCTTTGCTGTCAGGAGAGCATCCTCTGTGCATCAGCTGGCTTTGCGCTGTGAGGTGTGTAAATTGGCGTTAAGTGCTGGCTGGCCTCCGTGGATGGTGCAGGAATCCAGTCCCTGCACAGCTGTGATCACGAGAGGAGCCGTGTCTAATGCCAGGGATCACAGGCTGACAAGTGACCCGCACGAGTGTGAGGGAGGGGGGGTCAGAGTCAGGGGGGAGGAACCTGCGGCTGTGTCACCCAGGCAGGCCGCATACGGGACAGAGGCAGGCAGTGGTCAGGTTTCACGGACATGGTTTTTGCATTACATTACATTACATTATTGTCATTTAGCAGACATTGTCATTGATTTACATAGGTTACGATTTGACTTGTTACCCATTTAACCAGCTGGATATTTACTGAGGCAGTTCTGAGTTAAGTACCTTGCTCAAGGGTACAGCAGCAGTGCCCAGCGGAGAATCGAACCCGCAACCTTTCAGTTACGAGCCCACCTCCTTACCACTATGCTACCCTGCCCCCCTGGTAGTGGTGTACCGTCCCGCTCCCTGGAGACTGCAGTCCTGGTGGCTTCAGAGAGTCCTTTTAACCAGCGGCTCAGTGACTTCTGCAGCAGCAGGTGATTCAGGTCCCCATCCAACCAATGAACCCGTTTAAGCAACAAGCTGGAAAGAAAACCCAGAACCCCATGGACCCTGAGTGAACACCACTGGTTTCAGGTTGCCGGTTACCAGGGCTACCGGCCTGGGCTTTTTGGGTGAGATTGGATTAATTGTGGCTGATTTCTCACTGAGATCAAAAAGGCAGCTGGCGTTTTAGCTTTTTGAAAGGGGGGGCTTTTTTCCCTAAACACTGCTTCAACAAAAGCAACATAAAATACATTTTGAGTCACAATATCAAGACGGATATATTCCTGAGAGGAAACCACCATATTTGTCTTTCCTAAGTGACCAGACTGACGTCTGAGTTGACAGATTGGCCTTTTCTCTTTTTTTTTGGCTTTTCCAAAGCAAACATTGCTGAGACTTTGGCTTCCATTTTGGCCGTAACGTCATGGTTTTGGCCGTTTTGGCTGCGGGATGATGTCACATTGGCTTGGTTTTGGAATCAGTCTTGAAGCCCCGCAAATTGCTTGTAAACACTGTCCCTGGAATCTATAAAGTGCACAGCCTTTTGGTAGACATTTATTAATAGAATTGTAATATTAATCATAAGCCTTACACCACTTACATATGCATGTTATTGACTTAATACAAAGCTTCGCCCCTGCAATGTACTAAAACAGATGACAATATATAATTTTATGAGGTGCAGATGAGCTATTTGCAACAAACCGCAGCCAAATTCAAGTACCGCAGACGGCAGGCCGACATTTCCTGAGAACGAGTCCGTGTTGCGTCCAGTGTAGCGGTATGCATGCCTTCCCCTCAAAAAGCCCAGAAAACCCAGGACGGCTAAATTACTGACTGTGTGCCATTCGCTCCCTACAAAGGAAGACTTCTTCAAAGCGGGCGCTGGAGTGCCATTGTCTGGAGACGGCCGGCTTTTATAGCGGATGAAGTGTGGAACGAATGAGAACGCGGCGGAGCCCGGCCCCTTTAATCCCGCTTTCTGGAAGCGCGGCTGCGCTTATGCAAATCCGCCCGCGTCTCTGCGCCGCGCAGACGTCTTTCTTTCACTCGCTTCCTCGCATTGTCTCACACTCAGCCTGTTCCGGCCGGTTTTCCCACCGCTGGTGAGTGTGTGAGTGTGTGTGTGTGTGTGTGTGTTTGTGCATATGTGTGTGTGTGCGTATGTGTGTGTGTGTGTGTGTGTGTGTGTGTGTGTGTGTGTGTGTGCCTGTGTGTATGCCTGTATGTATGCCTGTGTGTGTGTCTGTGTGTGCGTGCGGCCCATGTGGGACTCTTCCCTTCACCTTGGAGGACCCTGTGAAAATGGCCTCTCTGGTGGCTGGAATTGCAATTATGTGGAAATCTATATCTGACAGCGTAGTAGACCACACTGGTCTGGCACCCTGGAGAGAGGGAGAGTGATTTTGGACGGGGCGGGCGCAGTAATTGGGAGTGCTAAAAAAGAGAGACATGTCATTTTGTGAGCCCGTGTGAGGGGTGAAGTGTGAGATAGGGCTGGGACAGGCTGGCTGCAGGCTCCAGAGACCAGGGTGGGCGGGGCCGAGAGTGTTCCCAGCCCCGCCCTGTCTCCATGCGTACAGCCGTCATGCCACATCTGCAGCCCACAGCTGGGACCCGAGCCTGTGGTCTCTCTCTGTCTCTCTCTTTCTCACTGTCTCGCTCTCTCTCAGTCTCTCTCTCAAATGCAAAATTGGACTCAAAGGTGCTTTATTGGCAGGACAGACAAGCATTGTGTTGCCAAAGCAACGACACGAACAGTAAAGCAAATAATTATTTTTTCTAGCTTGGGAGCATTTACTATATTGTAATAGAAACCGGATTTCTGTGTCCACCTCTCTCATATTGCAGTCATTGGAGAACCTGTCTTCCCTCACTTGCCAGGTTTGCCTTTTATCAGGTATCCTGCCAGGTTATAATCAGTGACACCTGCTCCAGTTGCGGTGACATTTGCTCCAGTTGCAGTTGTGGTCTTTATTATTCATCTGAATAGTTGTGCTTGGAATTATGTTGTCCAACTTTTCGCTCTCCCTGACCCTCCTGAAGACATTGGTGTGGCATTGGCTTTTGAAGTGACCCATAATGCCTCACTGTTGTGGAGTGAAGATTCACATCTCCTGCACCTGGGTGCTTGCCCTGTTTCCTCCTCTGCAGCTCTGTGCTGCCCCATGCTTGGCTACACTGTTGGCTTGAACTAACCTGTCTGTACCTCTGCACAGCAGACTCTCCCCTGAGTCCTGTCTGTTAACCTGCTCACTCATGGCTTACAGTGCTTATAGCCAGTTAGAGCACAGGCATCGCCAGTTTCAGCATGGTTATAGCTCTTCCCAAGGTAAGCATTCAGCTGAAGACGCTCTGATGCTTTGGTATCGTGCAGAATTCCTTATAAAATCTTCTCTCATATTCCTTAGTATTCTGTTGACTGTCACCTGAGAGAGGAATGTAAGTATTCTGATAGGGTGTACAGTGCAGTGATGAGGTCATTCCCTGGCTCCTGTTTTCTGAAGTTGAATTGGGCTCTGTAATAAGTGACATATTTTTCCCGGTGAAGTGTTCTCTGCTTTTCTCTTGCACTGTCATACACTTTGCACTGAGTTTCAGCTAAGCCTAATCCACGCAGAATGTCATCTGCCTCATGTCCCATGCAATAGATCGGTGTGTTAACTCGATATAGCAGGGGACTGGGAGAGCTTGCTTGCCTCTCTAAATCTCTAAAAAAATCAAATGTCTCTGGAGGACTTGTTTGATATGAGATCACTGGATCACTGAATTGTCCGTATTAATCTTTGTATTCACACTTTTGTCCCTCAAGAATTTACATTGTTGCAACTTTTAGGGACAGCAGCCTGGATTGCCTAGCAACAGTAGCTGCTTCACCCAACTTAAAACTGTACTTTGCAGTTAGGCTGAAGAGTCCACAGGTCACCCTGTTTGCTTACTGTATGCCTCTCGTCGTCTGAAAATGGTACAAAGAAGAACGGTCTTACTAAATATCCACCCCCATCTGTGCTCTCACCTGACCTTTAACCTCTGGATTGACATTCAAAGACAGGCTTATGCCACCCTCTTCCCCATGTTGTGCGTACGGGTGAGCGAGAGCACAGAGTGGTTTTTGGCTCCAACTTGCAGGAGCTAACTTTACTGAGAGCCTGCCTGCGTTACATAAAGGATAGCGCTCCTGGAGCAGTTGCTAAAGGAGCAATACGGTTTTCTCTGCTGCTCATACCAGTGCAAGCCTTAGCCCATTCCTCACGCTGCTCCTCTCCGTCGAGCCACGAGGGAACTGCAGTGAGCGATGGGACCGAACATGCCTATGGCTCTCAGCCGGGGAAGGAAAACACCACACACACACACAGACCAGCTTTCGGGATTTCCGACCGTTCGCATTCCTTTAAAAGGACAACAGCGCTTGACATTCAGCTGAGATGAAACTGAGGCCACGCTAAATCTAACCGAATCCTGTCATAAACAGGAGGGGCCGATTTTTTATTTACTGGAACACGTGTCCTGGTGGATGGGCAGTGTCTCAGTGATTCATCAGGTCTTCTTTTCCTCAGAATGTTCTGAGGCCAGAACTGTAAGCGGAACCACTGTTCATTGTGTGCAGTCTGCACCTTTGTAATTCCTCTGAACCAGTTGGTACGTGCTGTAGAGGGTGTGAAAGAATGTAACACTTCTGAACAAATGTAACTATTCATATGATTTTTTAAAATTCAGATATGTTTTATTTGCACACCCTGGACTCTCTGTCAGAGTCACTACATCCACCTGCAGTCCTCTGTCTATCAATCACAAGTCATCTGTGTTTGTGATGTTTTTTTTTATTTTTTCCAAAAAAGATGATGTTATACAGAAAAGAGCAAAACAGTTATAAAAGTTAATCACAAACCTTTTAGTCAAAAGCAGGGACTGAGATGAGTGATTGCAGAAGACAGGCGAGCCGTGGAGTAAAGAGGCTGTGTCTTTAAATGGGCTGTGTTTTGAAACATACCTCTGTTTCATTTTGTGTAACCCGAGGGCAGTTATTTGAACACTCTGAAGCAGGCGGTTCCACGTTCACCTCCGCAGGTTGCGCTGAAACACCCAAAGGGAAACGTGCATCCTCACACACACACACACACCTGGGACACACGCAGGCGTGCCCTGAGAGCGGCGCCCGATGCCAGTCTGTGAGTGGGTGCAGTGTGCGGTGCGGGGAGGATGCGTGTTGGACGCTGCGTTTTCCCACACTGTGCTGGGGTGGATGACAGCGCTGGCTCCGGAACAGGCCGCTGTGTGCTCCGCAGAGAGCCTCACCTCCCCCGGGCTTTGTCAGGGCTTGTCAGAGCGCATTCCTGAACTCAGCTGCTCAGAGATCTACACTGCTGCTACATTCCTGTGTGCAGGGCAGAGTGGAGCCCATAGGCCCAGACAGCCCCTGCACCCACCCAAATATACACATATATACATTTATACATATTCATATACATACATACACATATACATAATAACACATATACACATGTGTATGCATATACATATACACAAATATATACAGACACACATACACGTCCATATACATATACATTATATGTACATTACATATACTGTACATATACATATATTTAAACATGAACATAAACAAACATGTACATATACACCCATCTACACTTACACATGCACATACACATATACATGTACATATACATAAACATACACAAACATACATATACACATTTACACACTCACTCATCACTCAAACATAAATGCACATATAAACAAACTCACACACATAACCACACACATGCACACGCACGCACACACACTCAAATATACACATGCATACAAACAAGCAAACAAACAGGAACGTACACACCCTCATAATCAGCACGTTCAGAAAACCACCTCTCA